GGATGAATTATGAAAAGGTCTTGGCTTGAATGGATGAATTATGAAAAGGTCTTGGCTTGAATTGATGAATTATGAAAAGGTCTTGGCTTGAATTGACTACAAAATTAATAATTATGTTACCAATGCATCCCCAAGCCGTAAATACAGTGATGGTCTGAAAAATAAGTTTACTTCAATAATTCATAACCGCAAAAAGGCAAACGATGTTGATGAATTTTGATAGTTTAGCCAAATGAGCCAGAATGCACTATGATGTTCTGAATACATGCTCACAAATTACAGACACTGTTTGAGTTTTTAACTTTCAGAATAATTATAAAAGGATAAAAAGGATGTCAAATTTATGATCTTACAATATCAGATTCATTAAACTAAAGTAATTTTAGTTTGTTCTTTGTCAGCGACTTGAAACAAATCAAAATTTCTGTACTTGTTTAATATACCGGGAGTATTTAATATTGTAGGGTCACTCGTGAGATATTCTCGTTTGGACTGTTATGTAACAGGGTAGTTTAATATGACAACTCTGATTTTTTTTCAGAATTTATTCACCATCCTGTGATATCGTCATTCCCTACTGCTATAAGATATTCCGATATAATGGATGCATTAAGGGTAAGCTTGTACTACAGTATCCCAAAGTGGAAACACAATGGTGCATATCATTCACAGTAGTCATGTTGAGTGTGAAATATCACTAAAAGTAGAGATGCATGCTAAATGCATAATCGCTATGAAGGATAATATTTCTGCTGACCAGTACTACGGTAGCTCATGTTCTACCAACAAGTGATATCAAGTGATAACCTCATACTTGCCAAAATGTCTACATGTGTTAGATAGTTCGATATAATGGATCATTGAGGGTTAGCTTGTACCATAGAATTTCCCAAAGCAGGTACACATCAGTATCCAAATGTCTGTGAGATATAATCAAAACAATTATTTTTTTTATGACATGTGATTCTTTTTGATTTTTAGAGTACATGGGCAGAAAGAATGAAGAATATTAAAAAAGCTGACAAGGTAATGATGTTACATTGGCGTGACAGTGACACCACAGAATGATTTTTCATAAAAACACACAATGTTGTTCTGTTTTCGTGCCATATGATATAATGTAAAGCATGCTTATACCAAGTACTTGTGTTTCAACAGAGAGACAATGAGTACATGAAGGAAGCATTTTGTCAAGTGTACCTCGAGACTTGCTATCCACTACTACATTATCCAACCCTACCTACACCGCAATGGTCCAACCCAGCTGTTGATAATGTAAGTATTAAACTTAATGAAGTACATCTGGATATTAGAAAAAATGATTAAAGATTATACCTATTATCAATTAATTGTATTCCCCAATATTGTGTGTTTGTCGCTGCAGATGGTCTTAATCTAATACTGTTCTTTAAAAATGCCTTGTACCTGATTCCCTTCGCAATCGATGACTTGATTCTGTTTTATATTGATGATGATATATTTACTGAATATTCAGTATGCATAATAATATTTATATTTACATATATTTTTAACAGGCAAGGTGGGAAGAGATTGCTGGCTTTTTGAAAAGAAACCATGACAAAGGAGGTGTGTTGGCACAGCTATTGTCATCCGATGTGATTCATGAACCATTTGATACCAAAGAGTTGACCTTTGACTTTCTTTCAAATTATCATTAGCAATTATATCATGATTATACAATTTTATTTAGGGATCTAATTAGAACATTTCTCCTGCCCACTATGAGTGAGATAAATGATGCAGCATGTGTGACCAGTTTGTGAAAACTGTGTCAATTGAACACTTACCTAACCCAGAATACTAATGAACACAAGAGAGTCTCGTAGAATGCCACTAGTATAATGTCAACCAGTCTAAGGAGTCTAGTAGAATGGTACTGGCATAATGTCAACCAGTCTAGGGAGTCTAGTAGAATGCCACTAGTATAATGTCAACCAGTCTAGGGAGTCTAGTAGAATGCCACTAGTATAATGTCAACCAGTCTAGGGAGTCTAGTAGAATGCCACTAGTATAATGTCAACCAGTCTAAGGAGTCTAGTAGAATGGTACTGGCATAATGTCAACCAGTCTAGGGAGTCTAGTAGAATGGTACTTGCATAATGTCAACCAGTCTAGGGAGTCTAGTAGAATGGTACTGGCATAATGTCAACCAGTCTAGGGAGTCTAGTAGAATGGTACTTGCATAATGTCAACCAGTCTAGGGAGTCTAGTAGAATGGTACTGGCATAATGTCAACCAGTCTAAGGAGTCTAGTAGAATGGTACTGGCATAATGTCAACCAGTCTAGGGAGTCTAGTAGAATGGTACTTGCATAATGTCAACCAGTCTAGGGAGTCTAGTAGAATGGTACTGGCATAATGTCAAACAGTCTAGATAGTCTAGTAAAATGGTACTTGCATAATGACAACCAGTCTAGAGAGTCTAGTAGAATGGTACTGGCATAATATCATAAACGTTTTTTGCATGACTAGTATAAATATTGTTTCAATAAGGAGTTATAATTATTTTTTTTAGTTGTAATTTGTTTTGTTTTTTAGTCTGGTTGGGGGTTATTTGTTTTATGTAATGAATTTTTGCAACAAGGGGTCTGTTTTTTTTTTTTTTCGTTATAGTCAATCAAGTTTGTTGTATATAATCATGATCAAATATTTAATATTAATTTATAAATTTGAATTGTGCTGAATATACTGAAATACTAAGTATACTTTTATTTTGATGACAATCTTGTAAATAATCGTCATAATAGAAATTATTTCATTAATATTCGATGTGTAATTAAAGATATCTGCATTAAAAATGCCTCTATGATTTGACATAAGGAATTATTGGTGTAATATCAATGGGGATTACATTGTCAGCTACTTATATACATAATGTTATTAATAGCAAAAATGAAATAATTATGATGCTGATTGTATGTTAACCATGAGATAGTCTTGATTATATCATATATTTTTTAAATTATTCCTTTTAGGCCATTTCCTATAAATATTGAATCTTTTTGTAAAAGATTGACATTTTTATAAATAAACATAATACATTGATTACTGCTTTCATTCCTGAATTGTTGGATGTGTGCAAAACGTAAAGCAAGTCTTTGTGTGCCTACGTATGTATGTCTTACTTGGTTCCACTCCTAGTCATAGTTCCCATCCCGTTTTCAGTTACTATATTAATCATAAACAATGAAAGATGTACATAGAATATAATTATAAATGTTCTGGGAATATTCACTTTGTTAAAAATATGGTGTTACATGTATTTCTAATGGCACCTTATCCAGTGACACCTAGGAATAAGATCTTACAAAATAGGACTATCCACACATGAACTAGTTGGTCATTTCACAAAACAAAATGTGTGTACCTAGATTTCATGAGAAACATACAAGATGAAATGGCCACTAGTCTGTCTAAACACATAAAAGTGCTAAATAAAGCATGTCCGAGAAACTGCTAAGAAAACACTGGCAATTGACCCCTTTGAATTAAATCACAAAACAAACTTTGTTGTGCTCATATCAAATTTGAATAATATTAGCTCAGCCCATGAATACTGGTATTATTGAATACGATATGCTTTGTTTTGGGGACAATAATCATCATGCCTTGTAATTTTCAGCTTTTCTACTGATATCACAAAAACTAATCATCGCAAATGAGTCTGTACATACTAATTGGAATTTAATTTGTTTTTGTCATCAGGTTTCAAAGATATTTGATGCATGATCTGGCGTAATACACTGAATTGATTTGTTTACAGTTGTAAACATACAAAATACAACTAAAATATCACATGGTCATGTGACTTATTAATATTATTATGCATAATTTTAATACCTAGAAAATTTTTGCAAATACCAAGCTATTAATGAATTCATTGGACAAAGTACATGACTAATAAATCAGGAAAAGGAAGTACCATATACCATATATTGTCATGTACATCTCAAACACTCGCAGATGAGGACATGCTATAATAAAGGCATCGGATAAGAAGCATAACTAACATATCAGATGACCATATATGGTCATGTGACCTCATTAACTATGACATGTATCATATTCACAGCAATAAACTGTAGTTATGCATTTACAACAAACCGACATTATAAAATATTGTTGACTCTTGAGTCACAGAAAGCCAATTTTCTCAGGAAAATAAGTATAATATTGTTTTCCTATACAATTTAATTCATTATGTTTACACAAATGTAAATATTTTTAATAAGAATTATAAAAGAAATCAGGTGCTTATTTTATTATCTTGCTCATTTGCATACAACAAACTATTATATGAATCTTATAAGATTCTTATAAGACACCTATTTTTGTAAGGTATCCCAAAATGAACATCAGATGGTCCTATTTTTGTTTACTTCTGTGTGGAGAACATACTGTGGGGGGTATGTCCTGGTTACCCCTGGTGTTAGCATGTCAATGACACTTGGTACACAGGTCTTTTTAATTTGCTTAATAATTTTACAATTTTAACAAAATCAAAATGTTATCTCAAGAACCACGTAAGAGATTGATATCAAATTGCATAAATAGGACCATTTTGAAATCTGAGGGTGGGGCTAGAGGAAATTCAACAATTGCTTATTTTTTTACACTACTGTAGCAGAATTTGTTTATCTTTGTGTACAGGCCCCTGCAGAGTTGACCCGCCATCCAAACTTTAATTACTTTTGTCTTGCGTACAATAATTGTTTTTGTTTGTAATTAAAGAACAGCAATGAAATCAACAGCTTAATATGTTTTTAAATCATAGACTACCAGCTCTGACTAGTAGATTGAGTTCATGGACTTGATTCTGTTTGCTGTCAACGTATGCAGTGTTCGTCACTATTTGGCACACTGCCCTCAACGGTATTTGATATTGTACAGAAGGACAAACAGGGGGGGGGGGGTACACTTATTTTTCAAGAGGCTAGAATTAGTGAATCCAGAATCCAGGATTTGCAGTGAATTATAAGTCGTAATTCACTTTTGAGGAGACAGAAACGTCCTGCAAATCGCGTGCAACAAATTATACAAAACTCTGTCACTTTCTAGCAGCAAAGAATTTAGAAATCGTATTTTTTTCTGACCCAAGTTCTTTGTAAACCAAATTAGATCCGTCATTCATTTCTGTACTGTGTCGGTGAACTTGATTTTTGCAGTTTTCTGTATTTTGTGACGATATTTTCAAGTCATTATTTTCAGTGAATATTTTTTTCACTTTTCAGGAAAAAATTACATTTTCCACTTGAGTTCTTTTCTTCTTCTACCAGGTCGATTATTTTGACAGTTGGTATGCATGTACTATTGGTGGATCTCTTTCATTTTTTTTAAATTTGTGATGATGTCATAAATTCTCTATTTTTAGCGAATAATTTTGATAACAAAAATGATATTGTTGACTTCTTTATAAACAAAAGCAATTACTTTGATACGCATGCTTGCGCTTTGAGCTGGGCCTCTGTCACTCGTTTATCATCATACATTAATCAGTTTCTAATTAATATGTGCATATTGATTAGCTAAGTTGCATGCTAATACCGATGGTTTGCTCAAATGAACTGACCTCGGAACGTGTTTACTGTGTATTTTGTTCAATCTTACCAGTAGTCAATAGTATGACTTAAATATAGACATTACCGACAAACTGATTAAAAATGATGCTATACATGTATATGTATAGGGACGAGAACATGTATTGTTGTTAAGTCGCCGCATAAAAAAATCGATAAAAATATTACTTTTTCTTCCCAATATATATATCGATGAATTTAAAAGATAATAAAGTACGTCGAGTAACATATAGCAGTAAAAAACTAAAAAATACAATTAGTAAACAATCTATTTATAAAAGGTCGGGACTGTGAATATATGTTTATAATGTCTACCCTAAACATGCTGGTTGTTGTTCCTAAACAATACTGCAAACTTGTGTGAACCAAATGTGCCGGGTACGTGATATCATTGAATACAACGGGATAAGCAGGAAAATACGCTAGTCTGTGCTTAGAAAACATGCATGAAAGCTTAGCCCGGGCTAAGTAACAGTAAGTACAAGGTAAATCTGATAGGTTTTTAAGACCGGGTATAACCCTTAGCATGGGCTAACGAAGTGTGCGAACTGGCGAACGCTTAGCTCGGGCTTTAGTTAGTGTCCAAAACATCATTGTAAATTGAAAATCAACGCGAACACATCCAGGGAAGGTTCTAGGGGAAAAAACGAACTTTCGGAATTTGCTTATAACCTTCCTGGTTAATGTACTGAGTAATCATATCACAATATTTGAACAAACTTCGATTTATGGCCTCTAAGTTTATTTTACCAGGGTTTCTTTTCTATTCTTATGTGAGGGCGCAATTCTGTGTTATAAACCATTAGTTTCTGCGCATGCGCACTTCTTTCGTTTTCCACCATATTTGTTTACCAAAAGATTTTACCAACTTTATCCGCTGCAATCTGATTGTCATCTTTGCCATCCAGCCGTATTAATGTTGAATTTGTATCTGGTGTTAAGATCTGATATGTTCTGATATTTTGAAGCTAGAAATTGTGAATTGAGAACAGAAATTGTCTTTGTTGTCGGGGTTTCTGTAGTATATCTTTGTTATATACACACAGAATTAGGAAATAAAAAGAACCGGATATGTGATTGGACTCTATATGTTGTCTATGTGTCTTATATCCCAGCGTTACACATGGTGTAGTTTGCAGGATTTCCTCATCAAAGTTCTCCATTGAAACCCTGACTGTTCCTGGATGCTGATCTGGATGAATTTCTGTGGACAGAATTCTCGAAGTTGTGATGTGTCTTCTTGTATGCAGACAAAGATTGAAGTCAGAATTGAATTGCTGAGACTTTTCCTTTGAACATTTTTCCAGTATTTATGCAATAATTAATATCTTTTTAGTGGTGGTATTAGGCATTTTTTTAGCTCTAGTTGTATACATTTGTAGCCTTGTATAGTTTTGTATGCTACTTTAGGTTGTATCTGTCTACTGTTTTGATATATATTGCCACCTTAGTGTACTTTTTAGGTCACACTGGTATCCAACATGTCTGACACTGAAGGAAATGCAGTTGTCACTGAACAGGAAGTGGAAGAGATGCGTCAGGCTATGGCTATTCTAAAAGCAACAGTAGCTAGGAAAGAAGAGGAGACTGAAACAGCATTGGCCAACACTAGGGAAGCAGAGAAGGAGATAAAGAGATTGATATCAGAGCAGAGGTTGTCCAAGGCTGAACCCCCTTCAATCAGTCCACCTGGTCGTATGGTCGTATGTGTAGAATAATAGAATAGAAAACTTGACAGATTCACCGGTAAGCTTGATAGTTCTGAACCTTTGATTGTAGATTGGATAGAAGATGCGAAAGCAGTCATGGCGTCAAGAGGTCTTAGTTCTCAAGAGCATATATATCTGTCTGGTAAAGCTTGACGTGAGATACTTGGTAGAAGTGAAAGTGTGAGTACTGATGCCAGTCAGATATTCACTGTATTAACCAAAGTGTTTGGTGATGGTGATGGGTTGCTACAATTGCAACAATGTTTTTTCGCATACCGTCAAAAGGAAAATGAAGA